TGAAATTACATGCCAAATGACAACCTAATCGTACATAGCAGGCTAGTGCTTCAACTCTAGACAGCAACCACGCAGCCCAACTCCTGGAAAGTTGCGTTGCTCACCTCCCACAAGTAGCTCACTCCCACAACTCTCAGCGGCCTCGCACTAACCGTCAAAATATCTCGTAACGCAAAAAAGCCTCAGTGGTCGCAAACCATTAAACCCGGTCGGTTCCGCCAAGTCGTGCAATATAGGTCGGGCATCACCACGAACCACTGAAAGAATCCAACTAAGCATATCCCAAGCAAGAAACGCCTTGAAGATAACCATTGTAAATCCCGCCAAGATGATGAGAAGCACCATCCCATCTTGACAAACATAGCAGCCCCCTCTATGCATCATCATTATCGAAAGAATGGGGTCTACATCTCGTAAGCATAGGCCGAGGGGGCCTATCCCCCGGACTTGGAATGTGCACAATCCGTGTCACTTCCACTCCTAGAACAAGGAGAAAAAACAAAATAAGACATATCAAGGTCGATGGCAATGTGAACTGACTCCAAATGGATAATCACACCGCAATAACTAGTCCTAGGGCTAGACCCACACTTGTGTAAAATTATAGTCCACCCAATAGAGAGGTGGACCTCCTAAGAACAATCTAGATGTTATTTAATATTCAAGCTTGAATTATCCCAATAAGAGGTTGTGCATATTTACGAAGTGATAACAAGGACTGATCATCTGCATCACTTGAGTGAAATCGATGCAAGAATGCAACCAATAGGGTTCAAAGGTTCATAACCTTGCCCTAAACATGTCAGTATAATTCAAAGGCCCATGGCCTTTGTCCACGCCATGGATAGGCCTTAAAGGTTCAAAACATTTCCCTTGACACAAGAATACCCAAGTCCTAAATGCCTCAAGGTGACGACCTCGGCTTAACTTGGATGACCAAGCCCGAAGTGCAACGCTCCTTGGCATAAGACTTGAAGCAAGGTCTTAAACGGTAACCAGAAAACTCTAGATAAAAAGAGTACCCTAGAAAAACAAACCAGTCAAGGTTCACAAGAAGGGACCATCCAAGGTCTCGGTCTGAAAACACAAGCTAAGGACTCGAAGGAAAGACGAGCCCCGAGCTTGCAAGGGTAGACTCCTGGAACAAAGCCAAAGAACTTTGGTTTGGTACAAACAAACTCTCACCCAGCAAAAAAAGGGAATTATTCTAATGCACCACCAAGCAAGCAGGAAATGCCCCCAAACAATTCCAAAGACCAACATCAAACCGACCAAGACCAAAAAAAGCAAGCAAACTAAAGGCAAGAAGCAGCCGTATCACCATGACTCTCGTGGGCAAGCAACCCAAATCAACAAAATACACTTCCAGAATAAGCATTGCGGCTCGGGACACTTGATTTTTCAAAAAAAAAAAGAGTGGGGGGAGGGAGGAGGAGAAGGGTAGTATGCTACTACTGCTACTACCCCACAAAGAGTTTCAAAGCAACTGGGACGGAAAATCCAAATCAATCCATGATCTTAAGAAAGCATACCAACCAATCCAGCAACACATCATTCAGAGGGCACCGGAAGTAGGCTCACGGAGCAAATCTCGGTTCGCAAAACCTTTACAGGGGACTTGAGAAATGTATATTGCTGACCAATCACTCCAAATTCCCCTCGGGCATAGAAATATAACTCGCTACACGGCGTTGGGTGCATATCCCATCCCCCTCACTGGAGCACGCATGTTTTCCTCAATGGTGTTTCCATAAACAACTTTTGAGAGTGACTAGAAGGCGGGAATCATGGACCGAGTACGCTATGTTTACTTGGCGAACCTTGGAGCTTGGCACAACAACCGCTGTATAGCGAAGCTACATAACATCATTAGCAGCCCCGCTCTGCATCATCTTACCCGCAACAACTACGTTGCATCGATCAGATCACACTACCGAGAAGAAATGAGTATCAAGCCAGCCAGTGCCACATAAGCCTGTCGCACAAAACCACATCTCTCGTGGTCAAGGTTCGGTTGTGATTTTTATCTCTTTGACACATTGTTAATATTTGACTATGTCCAGTCCCATACCAATCACATTGGAATGGGGGGACTTGTTATGGCGTGTCCCATTTAGCATGATCCAGACCTCAAGATCTAAAGTGACAGCCTTGTCTGACGACCTTCGGGCGTTCGCTTGACGATCCTTGGAGGCCTGGACCAGCTCCTTGCTAGTTGTGCCTAAATTGGATGGTCCCAAGGCCTAACCTAATCTCCTTTTGACCTTATTTAAAGAGGAAAATACATAATTTCCCTTCTGACCTAATGGTCCCCTATAAATAGAACATGTCCTCCACCTTTTGGAGGAATCTTCTCTCTCCTAAAAGAAACCCTAAGGGAGTTCTCCTTTATATTCTAGAATCTAATCAGCTGCCATGGCTAAACACATCCCCGCAACATCAAGATGGTTCACTCCGGCCAGAAAGAACCATCTCTTCTCTACCATCTAGACTAACTTGATCGTTGGATCTTTTTCCCGGGGAACAGTCCCCGGGGAAAGGCTAACGATTGTGCTATGATGTATGCTCAGGTATCTCGCCGGAAGCTCGCTGACGGCACCACCTCCAACCCTCCGATCTGGAACCAACACAAACCCAATGGCCTGACGACATATCACAACAATACCCTCTCTTTAACCGTGTATCCCTCTCTATTTAGTGACACTGGATATGTAGAGACATATTTGACTCTATCTACAGTATACCTACTCTCTAACTAAAGCGAATGAGATTAAAGATATGCTCAAATCCATCACCAATGCAAGTCTCACTAAGAGATGGGTGATGTATGTTCTATTCCAAGAAATTTCATTTATTTATTCTAATTATTTGTATTAAGTTACCCTTTCACATAGTAAATCAATAATGTAGTTGTTGAATTTTAATAATGTACGTTATGTATTTGACCAGGGAGAAGACCCAACAAGTTTATACTGAAAATGGCTATTGGAGTTCCTTGGATCGTGTGTCAGTATGATGATGTTTCACAACGTGAATAGTTTTTCCTAAACATTATTATCAAAATTTGTAATATAATTATTTTTGGTTTTAAAAATTGATTTGTTGTTCATTATTGTTTTGAGTGTAGATGTAGCTAGCCAGGACAAGACTGCACTTGAGAAAGATTAAACCAAGATCCACATGTTTGAATGATGTTAATATGATGTTGTTTTCACCAATTTTTCAGGTGCCAATAGTATTATTCATTTTTTAAACATTTTTGCAAGGAATAGAAATTTCAACCTCATTTATATGAAATAGAGTCAATTGGAGTTGACAAAACAACAAGAAAACTAGGGTTGATTCTTTTAAATTTGGTTAGTATTCCGATGGGTTAAAAGTTTTAAGCTTTCCTTTCTAATACATTGATTAGATTATACAATGGGTTATTGATACATATGATTTATTAGTCAAAGGAATTTTTACCATTTAATCTCTCTTGATGTTTTGGTATTCAGGCCCTTGCTCATGAAATACACATATTCTCATTGCTAGTTCTTGATCAAAATGCAATATATAAATTGAAATAACAATCCTCTTTTACAAATATTTTTATCATTTCGTTTACCTCTTGATGTTTTCATGTGGCCAAGCGAAAACCAAGGAAAAGAGGAAAGTACATATATTTTATGTTGGGACAAATTTACAGTAAAGAAAATATAGGTATTGTATATTGTATTTGGATTTATTTGTGTACAATATATAAGCTTTTGTTGTGAATATAAGTTTTGGAGGGCTTTACTGATTTTGCACTAATACTCTGATCACAATTGTATTTTGTTTTAATAAGTAAACGTCATTATAGATGCCAAATCTTATGTTACATACTTTGTAAAATAAATGAAATTTTGGATAATATTGTGGCAATGAAATTTTAGTAAGTCAATAAGGGGTTATTTACCTTTTTAATTTGATTTCACTTTTAACTACGTTAAACTCATAATAAATGTCTTTGACCGGAAAAGGGGAAAAATGGGAAAGAATTAGTGGAGGAGCAGAGAACGAGAAACTTAATAACAAATTAAAGTAGGTTATTTTAAAAAAAATTACACTAATAAATATGATAAAATGGATGTTTTTCACTTTTTTTTTTCTAATTTTTATATTTAATTTAATATGTATAATTTTTTATCAATATTTTTATACATTTTTGGTCCTAGATTTTACTCTATTTCTACAACTTTGGTCCAAAAAGATTTTTTCTTTGCAATTTTGGTCTTTAATTTTGTGAGTTTTGAAACATTCATGTACTTTTTGTTATTTAAAAACTAAAAGATAATTTTTAAAGCATGTTTGTTTTTAGACATAAAGAAATGGTATTTTAGTCTTTAAGTTTATGTATAACTCGTGCATACTAAAAATGTATCTTGGGCATAAATATACTTGAATTTAAAGAATATTATAATTGATAAACATAATGTTTACCATAATGTATTTTATTTTTCTTAACCCAAAACAAAAAGATACTTTATTTTTTTTCTTAAAAAAGTCTGACAAAAAAGAAACTAAAATGAAAACATCATAACATTTTGAAGTACTTAATAAAAAATATATGATAAAAATAACTACATAAATAAGCATAACTTATGCATACTAAGTATTTATTTCTCTATGTATTGCAAATGTTAAAATTATTTGTTGTTGCAAAAGCGATGACATGTTTATGAACGAAATTAATTGTCAAATTTTTATTTTTATTTTTACGGCCGCTTGCGTGTGTACACCACTAGTGTATATATATAATTTGAAATGATATATTAAGTTAAAATTTTATAAAGATATTAATGTAATATTTAAGTTTAGAATGATATATTAGATGTTGTCTAAAAGTTGTGTTGAACACGAACTTGCATTTTGCTTCTTCGCGTGGAGTTAAGACATTGACAAACCACCATTTGTCATTTTGCTATTTGTTAAGTGATAATGGAGCCTCCAAGTAAACAACTTTTATAGAAAAAATGAAAAATCAATTCTCGGCCACATGACCCGTTGATAATAGATTGATTTTGAGTCTTCACACACCAACTTCACACAAAGAGGCATCTCATCCCAATCTCCTTCTACGCAGTCGATTCAAAAACTTGATTTTAATTTTGTAATCACCAAAAATAATGGAAGCTTTTCTAGAGGAGTTTCAACATCTTAAAATCCAACTGGAAGATATAAAGTCAGCCACCAGCAACTTTGATACGATCAACGTTATCGGAAAAGGTGGATTCGGGATGGTTTACAAAGGAGTACTTTCCAACTGTAACGACCGAAGAATGGTTGCTGTTAAGCGTTTAGATCGTTGCTATGGGCAAGGAGACCCTGAATTCTTTAAAGAGATCCTGATGCTTTCCCGCTATACACATGAAAATCTCATCTCTCTTGTGGGATTTTGCGATGATGATGGTGAGAAGATCCTTGTATACGAGCATGCCTATCATGGAAGCCTCGATTGCCATCTAAGTAGCACTACTCTCACGTGGAGGCAACGACTCAAGATATGCCTTGCGGCTGCAATTGGATTGTGCTACCTTCATGATCCTAATGAGACACAATATAGAATCATCCATAGAGATATTAAAAGTTCCAACATCCTATTGGATGAGAATTGGAATGCTAAAGTTTCAGATATGGGACTATCGAAAATAGGTCCCGCTAATCAGAAGCACACCTTTCTTGTCTCCAATGTTGTAGGTACGTTTGGGTATGTAGATCCGACTTATGCGGAGAAGAGCATCCTAACGAAAGAGTCAGATGTATACTCTTTTGGAGTCGTTTTATTTGAAGTATTGTGCGGGAGACTTTGCTTCGAATCTAAAAATGGTCATTGTGAGAGTTTAGTGCGAATGTGGAAAAAGAGATGCAAACAAAAGAAATTAGATGAGATTATCTTTAAAGATTTGAAGCAACAAATGGATATGAATTCATTGGAAACATTTTCAGACATTGCCTATCAATGTTTGCACAAGTCTCGTGAAGTACGACCAAAGATGTATCATGTTGTGGAAAAACTTGAGATTGCGCTTCGGTTTCAGGAGATTTATGAAGTTGTGGAACCACCAATAGACTATGATGAGATGAGCAAGACTGCAGTACCTCCTCTGGTGTATAGATCCAAAGAGGAACTAAAGAGGCTTCTCTCCAATGGAATCTTCGTAAACGAGGAAAAAACGGTGATTATCTATCTCGAATAGGTTTAAATTTACAAACTCCAAAAAAAAAAAATCTTGGCTCCCCAAATATATACTCTCATAAATGTACTCATATCGTTGTGCTCTTTTAATGGACAGTGGTTTTGGTTAAATAAGAATGGAGAACACTGCGAAATGATATCCGCAAAAGAGTGTATGACTCCTATTCGCTTCTCATCTTCAGAATATGCACCTCCAGGTCAAATTAAATCAAGGTTACTTATCCCCTCCTCCTTCTGTTTCTAGGCTTTTCAGATTATTTCAATTCACCAGTAAATAGTAATATATGCTTTTCTCCAATCTTTGTGCAGATTTGGCGTAGACTACTATCCACCATTCTGTAGGAAATTCAGAACACATGTCAAACCACAATTTTTGTCACCATATACCACATACACAGTAAATCTTGTGTTTAATCTTGGCTACAAAAATTTGGATTATTTAGGACTCAATTACGTATTGTCTGGGAACACAAAGTCTTCGACTTTGTACTTAGCAGATAAGAGAGAAGATGGATGGTTGATGGCTGAATTGTATCAGTTTACCAGTGACAGGAGAAATATTGATCTTGAAATTACATTTCTGTCTAGATATCCATTGGCAGTAGAAGGCATTGAGTTTCTTCCTCTTGAGAGAGTAAGCTGAGAAATAATGGTTTATTCATCTAGATGATTTTGTTTATGTTGCTTTAGGTCACATTTATTTTGTTTATGTTGCTTTGAGGAATTTTTTTCAGAATGGATGAAAGTCTAATATGTAAGTTATATAGGTGGAGCATGAAGTGTTAAAGGATGTGGAGATGGATATACAGACGATATCAGATTCTGAAACATATTGGGAACAAAAATTGCCTAGTGACTATGAAGAAATTATAAAGTGGTCAAAAGATAGGGTGCAATGGACAACAAAGAAGGAACTCTACTCTATTCTTTGCAAAGGGTTCCCAATCCAGGATTGTAAAGAGGTAATCCTACCATTTTTATACAGACTTAAATATAAGCCGTTCATTTGTTCCTCATTCTCATCTATTTTGGAGCCTATGATCAATGTTTAACAGTTCAAAAGGAAGAACTCCAAAATCCCAAAACTATTACTTACATATTTATTGATTGACAGTGGCTATATCTTGCAAAAAATGGGAAGAAATGTCTTATGATATCTGCAAGAACGTGTTTGCGAAAACAAGAGTGGAGTTGGCAGTCTTTACCCGAATTAAGGTTCTTTCCTTTATCTCTCCCATCTTGTTTTGTTGTATATGTTTGGCAGTCTCAACGCCCTAACACTTAAGATGCCTTTTAGTATATTGAACCCCTGAAAATTTTCAAATCTTAAAGCAACCAAAATGACAAGAAATACTCAAAAAATTTAAGGATCTTAACAGCTGTTGTCAATATCAAATTAGATACAAATGTTTAGAACCATTACAACTCTAAAACTCACTACATAAATAATACAAAGAAAAATTTAACCTAAACATTAACAAGATGATTAACGTAACTCAGAAAAACATGAAATATCTGAGGCTCAACAAGTAGTGGTCTTGTGATATGAACAAGTGTGATGAAGAATATAGAGAAACTCCAGGTGCATTGTCTCCAAAAAGGGAACTGATTCGTACACAAAAGATTTTCTCCGTTCAAAACAATTTGTGCTTTAACATAATGTAACTCTATAAAATATAAATTGTTGTGTATGGAGAAAAAAATGTTGTGTACGAATCACTTCCCCTCCAAAAAATGAACCCTACCCCCTTCTTATGCCTCATTTATGGAATACGGGTCCCAAACTGGTAGACATGGGTCAAGACAGATTCGCATGTTTTTATTTCCATGTACTCCCCAGCTCCCTTGTACAAGCCTCCACAACACAAATCTTCAAATCAACCGACTCTTGACTCATTTAGCCCCAACACAATTCATCCTATCCTGAAACTTAACCTTTCCAAATTAATTCTTAGCTTAACACATCAGACCACCCAAGTTTAGACTCTCCCTCATCCTCAACTTGGTGTGCACTATCAACCCAAGTTTTTCAGACAATAAACTATGTGGACTTCAACACCTTTTTAACTTCATCTCTTACATGGAACTTCATCTATTCGTTTCGGTGGTTTGGATTTGTACTCAACATACGAGGTTTCATCCTACGCATTTGTAGCCTCGAGGGCCCAATCTTGGACATTACAAGTCCACATATTATGTGACAGTGACATATGTGGTACCAACATTTAAACCATTCGGCCTAACCAGAAACTCAAACTTTCAAAACTAATTCATAGCTTAACACATTCAAACCATCCAAGTTTAGGCTAGATACTAAGTAAAAAACTTCTAGCAAAATCCTTTTGGAGAAGTGATCAAATACTATTAAACGCTTCTTTTTTTTTTTGCAGATTTGAAGATGTGGCTTTTGATCTTCATGGAAGCAGCTTCTGGTTAAGCTGCAAATCCAAATTATTGTCACCAGAAAAAATATACGCAATTTATCTTGTTTACAAATTACAAGAAAACCATTTTGGATTTGAAGCTCCTGTGAAAGTGACAGATGTTATTGCTAGACGTACTTATGAGAGGAATCATTCATGGTATATTTTTTTTCTTAGTCCTCAAACTCCGGTGCTTAGACGGAAGGTTTATCAAAACGCCCACAACCCATTGAATAGACCCAAAATAAAAGGACTTCCACAACAAAGAAATGATGGTTGGATGAAAGTACAAGTATGGGAATTTCAAACCAATACTAACACTAAACGGCTTCCGGATGAACTTTTATTAACCTTTTTCAATAACAATTTGCCTAGAGGGCTTATCGTTCAAGGGGTTGAGGTTGAACATATATAACTTCTTTTATTTATGATTGATCATGAACTATTTGTATAAGTTAGCTTTAATTTTATTTCTTACACTTCTTCTTTCTGTTGGAGTAATTCAAAGAAAAAGGGTCAAAGGTCATTTTTGGAAAATTTCCATATCTTAGTTTATTTACCCAATTTTAGTATATGATTCAAATTCTTAGTAAAAATAGGGTTCAATGTTTTCTTTCTTTTTCATTCCGAACTCACTTTAGCTTCTTAATAGAGCTTTGACAGCAAGTAACTTCTGTACCTCCCTGTTGTCCCATGTTTTCGTTTTCCTATTTGGTCCTCTGTTTTCGTTTTCCTATTTGGTCCTCTATTTTTGTCTTCCCTGTAAACAAGGAAGTAGCAGGTTTGTTTGATTACACTTGGTTTTACACATGGTATCAGAGCTACGGTCACAACCTGAAGACGGTGTAATTTGTCATACCCCGGAAGCCGGCGTAAACACCGAGATATGCTACATAAATCAGCGATCATAATTATTGAACATACATTGACGTAAATCTCCTATTTACGTTGACAATAGCTATTGCTAAATCGCGACACACGCATCACAATCCAACGTTTACAAATATATGATAAAAATAAGAGAGAGTCTTCTATGCAAACACTTCTGACCTTCTAAATAACCTCAGAATACATGCATTAAGACACGTCAGCAAAATTGTTAGTGAGTTCTACAGGTTTTGACACATATTATTTTTGCATACAAAAGTGTTTTATAAAATTTATCTGGTTGACCAACTTTTATAAATACGTATTTTTCTATAAAAAGTATAAAATAATTGAGTTATAAAAGTGTATTTAGACTCATTTAGAAATATCGTTTGCTCAAATCCAAAAATACACCATTTGATAAGTAAATCAAACTTATATCAAAATTTTACGGTTCCCATGACCAAAATACTTTTTATATAAGGATTTTGAATAGTAATTTATATAAAATAAACTAATATCACATTTTATGAAAACATAAAATAGCCAACTTTACTCTTGAAACCTTATACAAGCATTTGTGTAGTTTATATTTAAAACTAATAAGTTTCGAATTTATACTTTGTAACTTCATGTGGTGGTGTTAATTAAGTGTTATCTTACTTAATTTAGAAACTGACACTTAACTAGTGGGGCACTTATATATAAAAACATAAATAACGACACTTAACCAATGTGGCACTTAATTTGTAAACTCCCCCCACATAAATATTTTGTTTTCGTATAAAAACAAAGGGTTTATGTAAATGACTTATTAAATGTAAGTTAAACCTTAACTAATCATGTCATGTTGTTAATTAAGTGTTATATGACTTAATTTTTGGTATTAACACTTATCCTTTTGAGTCACAAACTATCCTACCAAATACAGTCTATTCCGACTAGTATAAGTGAACAAAAACCTCTTCTAAACCAGATGTAAATTTAATATTGTAAGAAAACAAATATAGGATCTATAATAAGCTCATAGCCGAACTTCAACACAACACCGCTGCACTAACACTAAAAGGGTGTGCTAAAAGTTCCACAACACTAACATTTTTTTTTCCAACGACCAAACATTAAGTTATATTTGATAACGAGAAATTGTGCCATATCAAAGATTTAGTTATCAAATTGAATTAATCTTAGACACTTAACCATTTGGAGAGAGGCTTATTCCATTCTAGTCTTACAGCTATCCAGAATATGTTTTCTGGTTCTAAGGTGTAACAACCCGAAGTTTTCCATCGTCGAAAACCCGTTCTACCCGTAAAAATTCGCCGTTTGTCAATTCATTCCGTTTTCGTTTTGGGTTAAATTATTTAAACTTATATGTTTATTATAATCCAATGAGTGTCCAAACCCCTTAGGAACTCATGAAATTAGCCCAAATGTTTATTTCCAAAAAGTTTAGAAACGTCCCCGTCGGGTTACGGAAACTTAATCGGGTGCGACCTAAAGCCCCGTTTAATGCCGGTATCGGGTAGAATTCCACCGTGTCCAAGTTTTGGGACCTATTTAAATGTGTTTAAACATTCATTTGAAGCTTTTTCTTCCTCTCTCTACTCTCTCTCTAACCTCTCTCCTAAATCCAAGTTTAAGGGTCCAAAATCATCAAATTTAAGCTCCAAATCACCAAGGTAACTATCCTAACTCCTAGTAAATCTTGTGTTTAATCTTGGCTACAAAAATTTGGATTATTTAGGACTCAATTACGTATAGTCTGGGAACACAAAGTCTTCGAATTTGTACTTAGCAGATAAGAGAGAAGATGTCACACCCCCAAACCAGAACGGCGGAAACGTTCGGGGGCGGAGGACATCATATTCAGTATCATAACAGTTCATAGAAAGGAAAGTACACACCACCATACATATATAAAGGTTTTAAAAATGTTTATATAATTGTATTCATTACATGTTTAAAAGATAAATACATAAACATCTTTCAAAAAGAAGTAATTAACGCCAGCGCGTCAATCCCAAAAGTTGATTTCCAAACCTGCTTAGCGGTTCCCTGAGAATACAAGTTATTTCAAGGAGAAAGTGTCAACAATTAAGTTGGTGAGTTCATGAGTAGTGTTTTGAGAAAATGTACGCCAATCGAAAGTTCGTGTATGTTTTCCAGAAAACGCAGTATTTCAAATGTAAAGAGTTACGGTTTGTTGTGTTGTAAATGAATGTATTAGATCCAGAAAATCCCATATTTTCCCTAATGGTTGAGATATGAATTGTTGTGTTTTCCAAGAAAATCCCTTATTTTCTTATAAAAGTATGAAATGCATATGAATGTTCGTGTTATAAGTTGTAAATAATTGCACCAGGAAAATCCCTTATTTTCCTATTAGTTGTTTGGTTTGTATACAGGAAAAACCCTTATTTTCCTAACATAACTGGCAGTCTCTAAGACCGAAAATTTTGCAAGTAACCGACGTTCTTAAAAGTCGTGTCATAGTTTTATATAATAAAGTTATACGAAGATCGCATTTGTTAGATGAAGAATAGTTTTAATAGATACTCGTTGATAAAAACATAATACCATAATAATTGTATATCCGATGAGTTTTATAACCATACTAAAAATAATATGCTTGTAACGACGTTCTTCAGACGTCGCAGCGTTATGACAACTGTCACCCCAAAGGATGGACTGTAGCTAACAGTCAGGGCACGGGATCATGACTTCCCTTATAGATCTATACACATTTGACATGTTCTCCTAACGGGAGACTCTGGTTATAGACAGGACTTGCGGCATTACTTTCTAATAAGAAAGTAGTGTTTGAAGATATACACGTCTCATGGATTCTCAACTAAGTCTGCATTAAAGTGATGGTTTTGTATGCAAAGTTTATCCTTTTTCACAATGTTTGACAAAGCATAAATCATAAGTTTTTAGAATGTATAAAACGACTTAGCAACGAAAGGTACTTTGAAATCACTATATACTTTGTATAAGTCTAATGCACGCAAAGTATGACAAGAGTTTTCCATAGTAGTAAGGAATTACAAGTGATTTATTCGATAAAAACAAGTGAAGTGAAACTTTATAAAATACACGATAATAACCGTATGTTTACTTGTATTCCCCCCCCCCCCCCTTATAGAGTATAAAAGCATTTAAAATGTATTTAAAGTGTTTTTGAAAGGGGTATGAACTCACTTGATTGATTAAAGAAGGTGTGACGAAAATCGAGCAGAACTTTGGCTTGAAAAGGCGGATTTTCTCGGGATTTCTCGGGAGTAAAATCGACCTTCGGGACTTGCACAAAATGACCAGGGCTTCGGGGTAGTGCAAGCACGGAAAACGAGGCAAAATGCAAGAAAAGTGAGAGAGAATGCGCAATTTTTTCGGGAACCCTCGCATCCCTTTTATAGGATGCTGGAACCGCCTTGGTACGCGGGGCGTACGCGTACGTCACGCATGACCGAGTCCTCGACTGCCTCGGACTTTGGATGGGACGGGGGGGGGGGGGGTAGGCTCGCATAGGGGCGACGTGGACGATCCGAGACCAAGGCCTTGAGTACGTTGGGCGTACTCGTGTACGCGGGGCATACTTGTGTGACTCAGACTTCGGATAATACCGAAGAATTATTTATCAAACTTCAAAAATTAATATCTCCTTCATACGAACTCCGTTTTCGACGTTCTTTATATCCACGCGTAGGTGAGACTAAGATCTACAACTTTCGTTTAGATTCCGTTGGCAAATTCCGAAATTATTTTTATTATTTATTTATTAAAATGACGTGATTAAGGAATTTCTTTAAAAATTCATAACTTTTTCATACGATGTCCGATTTGAGCGTTCTTTTTATGAACGTTTGTAGTTTAACGATATCTATGACTTTCATTTAGACACCTAAGGTCAGAAAATGTTTTATTGAAACTTTGCGTTTTTACGTAACCTCGTATCGCCGTTTTTGTCGGAAAAACTTAGAATGGTCATAACTTCTTCGTTATAACTCGGATTTTTGTGTTATTTATATGTTTGGAACCCTTAAGACGATATTTACTAAATAGCGTACTCCAAATAGAGTTTTTGAATACTTCATTTTTCGATGATATTCTAATCCCTTTTTCAAAGAGGTTACAAGACTCGATCTTTGATGACCAGAAATGACGGGTTGTTACAGAAGATGGATGGTTGATGGCTGAATTGTATCAGTTTACCAGTGACAGGAGAAATATTGATCTTGAAATTACATTTATGTCTAGATATCCATTGGCAGTAGAAGGCATTGAGTTTCTTCCTCTTGAGAGAGTAAGCTGAGAAATAATGGTTTATTCATCTAGATGATTTAGTTTATGTTGCTTTAGGTCACATTTATTTTTTTTGTGTTTCTTTGAGGAAATTTTTTCAGAATGGATGAAAGTATAATATGTAAGTTATATAGGTGGAGCATGAAGTGTTAAAGGATGTGGAGATGGATATACGGACCATATCCGATTCTGAAACATATTGGGAACAAAAATTGCCTGGTGACTATGAAGAAATTATAAAGTGGTCAAAAGATAGGGTGCAATGGACAACAAAGAAGGAACTCTACTCTATTCTTTGCAAAGGGTTCCCAGTCCAGGATTGTAAAGAGGTAATCCTACCATTTTTATACAGACTTAAATATAAGCCGTTCATTTGTTCCTCATTCTCATCTATTTTGGAGCCTATGATCAATGTTTAACAGTTCAAAAGGAAGAACTCCAAAATCCCAAAACTATTACTTACATATTTAATGATTGACAGTGGCTATATCTTGCAAAAAATGGGAAGAAATGTCTTATGATATCTGCAAGAACGTGTTTGCGAAAACAAGAGTGGAGTTGGCAGTCTTTACCCGAATTAAGGTTCTTTCCTTTATCTCTCCCATCTTGTTTTGCTGTATATGTTTGGCAGTCTCAACGCCCTAACACTTAAGATGCCTTTTAGTATATTGAACCCCTGAAAATTTTCAAATCTTAAAGCAACCAAAATGACAAGAAATACTCAAAAAATTTAAGGATCTTAACAGCTGTTGTCAATATCAAATTAGATACAAATGTTTAGAACCATTACAACTCTAAAACTCACTACATAAATAATACAAAGAAAAACTTAACCTAAACATTAACAAGATGATTAACGTAACTCAGAAAAACATGAAATATCTGAGGCCCAACAAGTAGTGGTCTTGTGATATGAACAAGAGTGATGAAGAATATAGAGAAACTCCAAGTGCATTGTCTCCAAAAAGGGAACTGATTCGTACACAAAAGATTTTCTCCGTTCAAAACAATTTGTGCTTTAACATAATGTAACTGTATAAAACATAAATTGTTGTGTATGGAGAAAAAATGTTGTGTACGAATCACTTCCCCTCCAAAAAATGAACCCTACGCCCTTCTTATGCCCCATTTATAGAATACGGGTCCCAAACTGGTAGACATGGGTCAAGACAGATTCACATGTTTTTATTTCCATGTACTTCCCAGCTCCCTTGTACAAGCCTCCACAACACAAATCTTCAAATCAACCGACTCTTGACTCATTTAGCCCCAACACAATTCAGCCTATCCTGAAACTTAACCTTTCCAAATTAATTCTTAGCTTAACACATCAGACCACCCAAGTTTAGACTCTCCCTCATCCTCAACTTGGTGTGCACTATCAACCCAAGTTTTTCAGACAATAAACTATGTGGACTTCAACACCTTTTTAACTTCATCTCTTACATGGAACTTCATCTATTCGTTTTGGTGGTTTGGATTTGTACTCAACATACGAGGTTTCATCCTACGCATTTGTAGCCTCGAGGGCCCAATCTTGGACATTACAAGTCCACATATTATGTGACAGTGACATATGTGGTACCAACATTTAAACCATTCGGCCTAACCAGAAACTCAAACTTTCAAAACTAATTCATAGCTTAACACATTCAAACCATCCAAGTTTAGGCTAGATACTAAGTAAAAAACTTCTAGCAAAATCCTTTTGGAGAAGTGATCAAATACTATTAAACGCTTCTTTTTTTTTTTTTTGCAGATTTGAAGATGTGGCTTTTGATCTTCATGGAAGCAGCTTCTGGTTAAGTTGCAAATCCAAATTATTGTCACCAGAAAAAACATACGCAATTTATCTTGTTTACAAATTACAAGAAAACCATTTTGGATTTGAAGCTCCTGTGAAAGTGACAGATGTTATTGCTAGACGTACTTATGAGAGGAATCATTCATGGTATATTTTTTTTCTTAGTCCTCAAACTCCGGTGCTTAGACGGAAGGTTTATCAAAACGCCCACAACCCTTTGAATAGACCCAAAATAAAAGGACTTCCACAACAAAGAAATGATGGTTGGATGAAAGTACAAGTATGGGAATTTCAAGCCAATACTAACACTAAACGGCTTCTGGATGAACTTTTATTAACTTTTTTCAATAACAATTTGCCTAGAGGGCTTATCGTTCAAGGGGTTGAGGTTGAACATATATAACTTGTTTTACTTATGATTGAGCATGAACTACTTGTATAAGTTAGCTTTAATTTTATTTCCTACACTTCTTCTTTCTGTTGGAGTAATTCAAAGAAAAAGGGTCAATGGTCATTTTTGGAAAATTTCGATATCTTAGTTTATTTACCCAATTTTAGTATATGATTCAAATTCTTAGTAAAAATAGGGTTCAATGTTTTCTTTATTTTTCATTCCGAACTCACTTTAGCTTCTTAATAGAGCTTTGATAGCAAGTAACTTCTGTACCTCCCTGTTGTCCCATGTTTTCGTTTTCCTATTTGGTCCTCTGTTTTTGTTTTCCTATTTGGTCCTCTATTTTTGTATTCCCTGTAAACAAGGAAGTAGCAGGTTTGTTTGATTACACTTGGTTTTACACATGGTATCAGAGCTACGGTCATAGCCTGAAGGTGGTGTAATTTGTCACACCCCTGGCAGCCGGCGTAAACACCGAGATATGCTACATAAATCAACGATCATAATTATTCAACATACATTGACGTAAATCTCCTATTTACGTTGACAATAGCTAGTGCTAAATCGCGACACACGCATAACAATCAAAAGTTTACAAATATATGATAAAAATAATAGAGAGTCTTCTATGCGAACACTTCTGACCTTCTAAATAACCTCAGAATACATGCATTAAGACACGTCAGCAAAATTGTTGGTGAGTTCTACAGGTTTTGACACATATTATTTTTGCATACAAAAGTGTTTTATAAAATTTATCTGGTTGACCAACTTTTATAAATACGTATTTTTCTATAAAAAGTATAAAATAGTTGAGTTGTAAAAGTGTATTTAGACTCATTTAGAAATATCGTTTTCTCAAATCCAAAAATACACCATTTGATAAGTAAATCAAACTTATATCAAAATTTTATGGTTCCCATGACCAAAATACTTTTTATATAAGGATTTTGAATAGTAATTTATATAAAATAAAGTAATATCACATTTTATTTTTTTGAAAACATAAAATAGCCAACTTTACTCTTGAAACCTTATACAAGCATTTGTGTAGTTTATATTTAAAACTAATAAGTTTCGAATTTATACTTTGTAAATTCATGTGGTGGTGTTAATTAAGTGTTATCTTACTTAATTTAGAAACTGACACTTAACTAGTGGGGCACTTATATATGAAAACATAAATAACGACACTTAACCAATGTGGCACTTAATTTGTAAACTCACCCCACATAAATATTTTGTTTTCGTATAAAAACAAAGGGTTTATGTAAATGAGTTATTAAATGTAAGTTAAACCTTAACTAATCATGTCATGTTGTTAATTAAGTGTTATATGACTTAATTTTTGGTATTAACACTTATCCTTTTGAGTCACAAACTATCCTACCAAATACAGTCTATTCCGACTAGTATAAGTGAACAAAAACCTCTTCTAAACCAAATGTAAATTTAATATTTTAACAAAAAAAATATAGGATCTATAATAAGCTCATAGCTGAACTTCAACACAACACCGATGCACTAACACTAAAAGGGTGTGCTAAAAGTTCCACAACGCTGACATTTTTTTTCCAACGACCAAACATTAAGTTATATTTGATAATGAGAAATTGTGCCATATCAAAGATTTAGTTATCAAATTGAATTAATCTTAGACACTTAACCATTTGGAGAGAGGGTTATTCCATTCTAGTCTTACAGTTATCCAGAATATGTTTTCTGGTTCTAAGGTGAGCCTATAACGGACAATATAGACGTTCCGTCCCCGGAAGGGCACAAGAAATAGTGGTATCTGGATAATTACTAATGCATTAAAAAGTAGTGTAGTAACAAAGAAATAACACTTGATGTCAGTTTAGTCTCATCAAACGAAGTTGTAGCTAGCAACCACAGGTGGATAATATCGACCCACATAAATTTATACCATCTGCCTTAGATTTATACAAAAGTTATTTATTATAAATTAATATCGTACACTTAGATTTACACTGTAAATCCCTCCCGGATTAACAATTATAGTGCTAGGGTTGGTTCTAGGATTTTGATCTTAAGGAATGACAAGTATCACAACATGAATCCCCCCTTCAACGATTCTAGGATTTAACACACAAGATCTAGTCTCAAACTCCAATAGTTTTTTCGACTAACCAACTCACAATTCACACAAAGGATATCAAGCTTTAATCTTAAGTTTTAAATGTTTTTAGAACTTAACGTTTCTAAGCATTATTATGAATTTAATTCAAAGTTTGGATAGTGTGATGGTTGCATTTTGAATAATTCCATGTTTTCAACCAATTGCAAATGATCCAAATCACGCAGTTTAAAACACAAATATATAAGTAGAAGATGATTAATCTATCCTTTTAATAATTCACTTGACATGTTCAATCTTTGTTTATCAACCATTTAAGGCAATGTTCATTTCTTTTGTACATCATTATGTTGAATACCATATTTGGTTATATGTATAATGTCTCTTCATGCTTTCTCAACATATTTGTGCATATATACGACAAGTAATACAATTTATGGCTCATCAAATAACTTATATCTTTATAGCAATCTACTTAAAATCTTGTGACTTTTATTAATTTTAATTAATATATTACGAAAAGGTGTAATTATGTCATTTATAGCATTCTACCATAACTTATATGATTTATTAATAATTTATACATGTTAGATTGCTAACTTTTGACCAATAATAAAGTATGATGCTATTTTGTGTATAAACTTGAAAATCATTTGTTGAGTTCATTTGTGTTGCGTCTTGGGCTATGTATTTTGTATCCGGATTGGGCCTATCCATCCGTGTCTATCTAGATTAGTTTCTTTGTTATCTAGATTAGTTGTTAGGGTTATAGTATATATATATATATATATATATATATATATATATATATATATATATATATATGCATGCATGTATGCGTATATTAAGTAGTTGTCTATTACGTTGATTCTTGTAACCCTAAACGCCTCTATAGATTGAAGTTCTTTATCGAGCTCTTCTAAGGTGTTATTGCATTAATCATTCGACATATTCAGCGCCATACTTGTGTTCTTTATTACGTTCTTATTTAATATCTTGCTTAGAATCATACGATCCTAATAGAACTTTGTTCTAACAATTGGTATCAGAGCAGGAGACTGTGTGATCAATACACATTCCTTATGTATTCATAATACTTTAGGGTTTCCGCTTTTATCGTATAAATAGAAGCCGTCATCTTCATATCGACGACAACTCTGTTTTTGATAAAAACCCTAATCTCAAGTTTACAGGTTTGATTCTAGTAGCTCACCATGTCTCACGATGATTCGCATACAAACCCTATTAACATCTCAAACAACATTGGATCAACAACCAGAGTACCCATACTCTATACTCAAGACTACGAAGTATGGGCTCATCACTTTGAAGATTACGTGGTTGGATCTGAAGACAATGGCTATCTCATCTGGGAAGCTATCACTCTTGGACCGTTTGTACATTCGGAGACAAACACGACGGTTAAGATGCAAAAGGATTACAACAAGTTAGTGACAGATGTTCAGAAGATGCCACAGGATGAGAAGGACAAGATCTTGTGTAACGTTAAAGCCATGCGATTGATAAGATTCGCCCTGCAATCTGACACCTTTCGGCTTGTAGGTTCATGCACAACCACTAAAGAGATCTGGGATAGGTTGAAGGAAATTTACTCAACTGATGATGATTTGGAACACTCCATTCAAACTCTGTTACTGTCAGAATTTGGAGTTTTCGAACAGAAACCTGAAGAGAAGATTGTACAGACCTTTGATCAGTTCAATCATCTCTTAAGTAAGATGATCAAGCATGGGATAGAGAGGAAGCTGATCGAGAAGAAAGTAACGTTCATGAACGGGCTGAGACCAGAATGGATGGATGTGGTTTCCACTGTGAAGGCGCACGAACAGTTCAAATCGTACTCGCTGGCGAAACTAGTAGGGATACTGAAGTCCCATGAAAGTGTTGTAACCAAGGAAGCGAAAGTGGTCTCTGGTGTGGGATCATTGGCTCTTGTTTTTAAAGGAAAAAGTACTGCTGAAGAAGAAGAAGAGTCAAACATGTCAGAGTGCGACCTTACAAGTGAGGAGTATGCCTTGATGATCACAAATCCAAAGAAATTTGCAAGGAGAAAATTTCCCGTCAACAAGAACCGAAACTGGCAGGGGAGTTATAGTTCTGAGAAGATGAAGGATGAACCGAAAGTCTCCTCTCAAAAGGATGAAGAGAAAAAGGAGAGCAACCTTGCAGGAGACTTAGGATACGACTGCAACTGTTGTCATGGCAAGAACCATTTTGCCAAAGATTGCATGTTGAGAAAGATGATGAGGTGTATTATATGCGCAAATTAGAAGAAGTCAAGAAGAAAAAGGCGTCCAACAGCTCAATGAATGCCTTAATCATACAGGAGAATGCTGGGGAAGATGAGTTCAGTGGCGTAGAAGTCTGGTCAACCGACTCTGAAGACGAAGAGGTTAGAAGACCCACTCATGGAAAGGTGTATGTGGCAAAGAATGAAGGTTCGGGTGGAAAGTGATTTATCGTCACTGCTGGTTGATCAACCGAAAGTGCAGATACTGAACCAAATCTGACAGAAAACAAGTGTTTTGCGGCCAAGCCGGTGAGTGAGAAGATCAACGACTGCGATCGATTCATCAAAAAGGTACATTCTATTCTTGAGTCTCTTAAATTTTCAAAAACTGATTATCAAGAAGAATTAAATGAATTAAACTTTAAATTTTCTAACCTAAGTAGTAGCCTCATGCAAACCCGCTTAGCGAACTCTAACCTAACTGACCTACTCGGCAGGGTGTCTTCAAAAAGTGAGGAGAGGAGAATCTGGATTGAGCTGAAGGAAGCGGAGTTAGTTAGGGCGAGGGATGAAAGTATTTACTTGCAAAGAGACGATTTAAAGTTATTAAAACAAAGAAATGTTTTATGTTTAATTGCTAAGCGTCTTTATACTAATATT